ATAGCGAGGCTCCACCACGCGAGCTCCCAGACCACCGGGCAGCCTGCGCAGTGCCCAACGGAGTCTTCACAGGCGCACCCAATCAGACATCGAGAACCGCGTTGCTGGAAGCGCCGGCCCGTGTACCACTTGAGCCACGCGCGTAAAAAAGCGGTTCGTACCCGCGGCGGGGCAGCCGCCCTGAGAACGCCAGTGACCTGCCGCGCACGTGAGGCGCGCCTGGCCGGCGGCAGAGGCGCTAGACTCCATCGGCACTTACGCTGGAACTGTCGCCGCCAGAAGCGCCCCGCCTCCCCCGCCGACGTCTACTACCGGGTGGAGCGGCAAGTCCTCGCGAGAGTCAAAGTCATCGTAGTGCGAGACGGCGGCGTCCAAGTGCAGGATTGCAGCGCTCTGGAGCCAACAATCTCAGCTCGCCAGTTGGAGCTCGAAGTCGCCACCTCCCATGGCCCATCGAAACTCCAGGGCCCGGCGCGTCGTCTGCAGGCCCCCCTCGTTCGTGGCTTCGCACGGGGCCGCGCGCAAGCGGGCCGCGAGCAAGACCTGCGCACGGTCGGGAATGCTGCTGGAGAAGCTCATCGAATTCGAGCCCCGCAGCGCGGGCTGGGAAATCCACCCCCGAGGGCGCTCGACCGTGGACCTGCCCGCCAGGGCAGAGAGAAGCTGCGCCGCGAACCGAGCCCCAGGTGGGGCCCCTCACGTGCTCTGAGGGACTTCGGCATTGCCCCCGCCCATGTTGATCTCGCCTCCGCCGAGCGGGTCGCTGCCTATAAGAGGGCCGCTTTCCGGCGCCCGTGGGCGATAATTCTGCGCCGCGAGCGCCTCCCGAGCAGTTCCAGGAGCTCGTTCAGCGCTGGCAGCTGTCGCCTGCTGGCGAGCCGCTGTTCGCGAAGGTCGGTCTCCTGGCCGTCATCGAAGTCCTCGGGCTGCTCGAGGAGGCTGGCTTTCTGCTCGCTGCTCACAAGTTGTACCTGCAGCGCCTGGAAGGAAAGTTGGCGAGCTGGCCGGACACCTGGCCCTGGTTTCGCGGCCCCCCCGCCCCGGGAACGCCCGGGCGCGGGACTTGGCGGTTAGCTCCCCCGCCCCTGACCGTGGATTGCGGGGCGATGCCCCGCGTCTGCCCGCTCGTCTGCTGCCAGCCGCCTGAAACTCTCGCCCTGCCGCGCCGCGTCGGGGAGGTCGGCGTCGCCCGGCCCGGCGCGCGAAGGCTGCGACGTCTGTCCGGCGCCTCTGCCCCGCAGAAGGGTCGAACACCTTCGGCCGCCTCTGCGCCCTGAAACCCAAGGCCTCATGGCGCGACCGCGCGGGCGGGGACTGGGCGCCTGGCCCCCGGCGGTCTCCGGCTAGGCCATCGGGGGGGGGGGGGGGCGTCGCTGCGTTCCTGGCCGCGCTGTGTCGCCCGACGGAAGCGGCCGCTGGCCATATTCGGGAGGGGCGCAGGCCCCCGCCGAGCGCCCTCGCCCGCCCCTCGACGCGCGGGCGACGGGAGAGGCGACGCGCGCTCGAATTTTTCCAACACGCGCGCGCGAGAGGCACCTTTGGTAGAATTTGCTGAACGCGTAGAAAAAAAGATGTCTAAAGCCATGCGCGTTGTTTTCTAAAAAGTGTTCGGCGCGCTCGATTTGGAACCCTTATATGTGCGAAACCCCTAATGCTGGATGGATTTTTGGGATGCGCGCGCGACGACGCGGGCGCGCGAAGCTCGTTCCACTGTTGCGCGGGATTCTTACGTCGCCACGCGCGCAAGGGCGTTCGAACAATTTCGAAGTGCGCGCGCGAGGGGCACGTTCAGTCGCGCTTGATGAACATGTTGAGAAACCGAAGTTTGCGCTGTAGAATCTGCGCGAGCGCGAGCGCAGGCTCTCGTGGAAGTTCCTGTCGCAAACCGATCGACGCCGTTTATAAAATGCGTTTTCGGGGTTCTCGATTTCAAGGGACTTGAACATGATGGGGCTTGAACAAGGTTTTTGGATATGCCAAATGCGCGCGCGTTTTTTTGGCGGCAAGGGATGGGGGGGGGGGGGGGGGGCAGCTTGGCAGGGATGATAATAACTTAAACTTTGAATGGGCAATGGGGCAACGCCGCATGTAAATCGAACATCCCCATGAAGGAGGGATAAAACGCGCCTCGGGAGGGCGGTGGGTCCGAATTTCTCTGCGCCGAACTTGAACGCATGAGTTCCACAGCTCGCGCAATAATCCCACCCAGCCACCCGCAACACCAATTCGGCAGCGAGGCGGCGATTGCGACAAGTGATTGGCGTTGGCTGGCGCATCGCTACGGCCGCGCTAGCGCGCGCAGGCTCGCGCGCAGAGCGGCCAATTAATCTGGCGCGGCCGCGGTGGCTTTGACGGTTGCGGACTTCCAAACGCGTCTCGCAGGCCGCGCCGATGCGCGGGCATTCTAATGCGAGTCGGTGGCTCGGGCGGGCGCGGTATCACTGCGACGTCGACAACAGCAGGCGCAGCGATGCCAGTAGCGATGTTGGCGACGACGATGACAGCGATGACGGCGCGGCCAGTGACGGCGTCGATGCTGATCACGCCGATGACAGTGATGACGCCCACGCGTCGGCTGCGAAAGTTTTGGAAGGATTTTGACATGCGCGAGAGGCCGTCGGGCGCGAGTGACCCGCGTGGTTTAATGCGTCAGACATCGCGCCCCCCCCCCCCCCCCCCCAGCGCGCGCAAGGGCGTTCAAACAATTTCGGCACGCGCGCGCGAGGGCACCGCGGGGTCGAATGTGAGGAGCACGATAAAAAAATAGTGCCCACATGAATTTGCAAGTGCGTGCGCAGACATTCTATATTGAACCAACACATATGATGCATCACGGTATTATTGATCTATTTCGGGGCACTCAGTTGAACACCTCGATGCCCAGGTTTTTTTGACGGATTGAGGAGTGCGCGCACGACGACGCGCGCGTGCAATTCGTTCCGTTGGTGGCAAGGGGGTATTGCAACTGGGTGGCTTGTGATAAACGAGTGCGCGCGCATCGTATCACTTGACAAAGGGCGGTGAAGGCCCCAGCCTAGCTGGGATGGTAGGACCCCGCATTGTCAATGTACGATACAACGAACTCATTTGTAAACGGCACATCCCCAGGGTGTATCGATAATCCCTGGGGGGGATACATCCTATTGTCTCTCTTATCAAGAGACTCTATGTGGCGAAATACTTGGGGGTGCAACTTTGTAATGCAATCTGCGCGGTGCAATCTCAAAGCGGCGACGGGGCGGCGACGGCGGCAACATAGCCGCCAGACCGCCACCCAGGCCCAGACGACGGGCGGCGACGAGGCGGGGACGTGACAGCGACGGCGGCAACGTAGCCGCGAGCAGCACCCAGGCCCAGACGACGGGACGCGACGAGGCGGCGACGGGGCGGCGACGGTGGCAACATAGCCGACTGACCGCGATCCAGGCCCAGTTCCTTAGAACACACATAAGAATTCGTAAGTACATACCACTTCCTGTATACATATCAATATCTATATGTGTGAGTATGGTTTCCGATATAAACATATATCCATACATTGATATATTAATAGACTGATACACTGATACATTGGTATACACATGTGTACGTATTACATAGATATGTGTATGCATATGTGTGCCGCCTGCCCAGGGCCCCGAATATTGAACCCCCATGCGCAGTCGTTACGGACAAACCTTCGCCTCGGACGAAAGAAAAATCACAATGTGAACACTACCACTGCAGATCAGCCTTCTGAAGCGGCGGCTGGGGTTTCGAATCCGAGAATATGCGCGCAGCCAAGTGAACCCAGCGGGTGTGTCCGACACCCCAGCGTCGATTGAACCCGCATGGGTGAGGTTCGTTGTTGGTCGCACGCAGGGCCACCGAACAGGAGGGCCCCTCGGCACCGTCTGCATTGGGGCGGTGGGCCCCCGCGCGGGGAGAGGGAGGGGGGCCGCTGGAGGCCCTCGGAGGCCCCTCCGAGGCCTCAGTCCGGAGGCACTCGGCGCCCTCGCGGGGGAGCCCCAGCAGCAGGGCCGCGAGGCCCGCGCACGCTGGCGACGGGGCCGCGAGCACCCTGGGGGTCACTCCTCCCGCGCCTGCGAGCCGGGCGCCCTAGTCGGCCGGGGGGGAGGGCCACTTCACGGGCACCTGCAGGGCCTTCCACTGGGCGCCAACGGGGCCACTCCATGGGCCGTCTCATGCGGGCGCAAAGCCAAGAAGGGCCACCTCTCGCCGGCCAAGGGCGCCGCCGCCAGCGCGGGCCGCTGGCGCGCGCCGCCTTACAATGGGCTGCCTGGGCGCGCGTCAGCGCGGACGGCCTGCTCGTGATTCCCCCCTTGTTCCAACGAGAACCTGGCTCGCCTAATGAACTTCGCGCATCGCGCCCAGCGATGCTCGACGCGCGGTTATCTTCGCGTCCTCACGCCGCCGCCCTGGAGAAGGGCGCCTCTCCAACCCAGACCGCGATGCGCGAAGCGCAATCATCTTTGCGTTCCCGGGGGCGACCTAGAACAAACGCAACTCGACGAAGCAGGCCTGAATCCCCAGAGCTTGTCGCTCGCAGCGCGCAGCCGAGAGAGCGCGAGGTCAGATAGGTGGTGGTGGTGGTGGTGGTGGTGGTGGTGGTGGTGGTGGTGGTGGTGGTGGTGGTGGTGGTGGTGGTGGTGGTGGTGATGGTGGTGGTGGTGGTGGTGGTGGTGGTGGCGGCGGTGGTGGTGGTGGTGGTGGTGGTGATGGTGGTGGTGGTGGTGGTGGTGGTGGTCACTGCGCAAGGGGAACAAGGCCCGAGCAGAGCAACACGCACGACGACGACGACGACGACGAAAACGACGGAGGCGAGGCTCGCAAACGATCCACACTGAAACGTGGATTTGGGAAAGGGCCCACCCTGCGAGGCTTCCGGAGAGGGATGGGGAGAAGGACGACGACGACGACGACGACGACGACAACGACGAGGGAAGGACGGCGACGAGGAAGGGTCGGCTCGATCGGCCCGTTCCCGTGACGCCGCCCGCCTGGGACTTCAGCAGCTGCTCCCTGGTGGCCACAAGGTCGGGCGCCTGCGAGTCTCCGTGCAGCAGCGCCGCCCCGCATGAGGCAGGGACGGCCGCGATCGCTACGATTAGGCGGAGAGCGGCCATTGCTGACAGCAGCTCGTCGGCGGCGCGCCGAGTGGCAAAGGCAGCAGGGGGCCGGCCTTTTCAGAAGGCTCAGAAGGCCTCCTACCTTCTGGGGATCTTTCTAGGCCTCATCCGAAAACAGACACGGCTTCTCAAAAGGCCAGATGGCTTCTGAGAAGCCCTATCGCCTTCTAAGAGCGCCTGCCCCCTCTCACTTCCCCCCTCGGCGCGCCGCCGAGCTCGGACCACCTGGCTGTCGACCCCCACAGTGGGCGGACGTCGAGCCTTGGGCCAAATTCGAGGAACGAGGGGAAGGTGCACCGCTGGGAGACGTCCACCTCCAGAGCTGCTCGGGTCCTGGCCTGGATCCCAAGGGGACAGTGGACATGAACGCTTGCCCGCCCTCAGGGGCGGGCAGATCCGGTCAGGAACTTTTTCCTAGCGTGCCGCGGTGGCGGCCCTGGCGACACGCTGTGCCCTGCAAGCGGATAGCGAGTCGCTCCGCTGTGCGGGCAGGGAGGCTGGGAACCACTCGGGACGTTGAGGCTCGGGAGCGGGGACGTGGCTAGCGTATCGCGCTGAAGCGCGGGGGGCCAGAACCAGGGGAGCGACACGCTAAGCACACTGTATACAGATCCACCGCTGCTCGAAAGATCTTCGAGATCCTGTGGCACGACAGAGTCATGCCCTGGGGCACGACTGCCCTTAGCTACCCCTGGCAATTCCCAGGCGGCATTGACGCAAATAAAGAATTGCGACCCCCTTGCCCCCGGTGACGCCAGTTGTCGCAAGAGAACTTAAAGAAACTAGCTTCTCCGAGGCGGTGGATGTACACATCTTCTGGCGGTGGAAAAGGGGACTGCCTAAATCCAAATTTCAAAAATCGTCTCGACCCCTTCCCCGAGTCCAAGCTTCCATCCCGAGCCGTTCTTTTACGGCCCTGGGACTGGGGAACGGCATCCAGAGGCCGAAAATAATCAAACATCTCCCGCCATAACGTGTTATTCCCGCGACGCGAGGGTGTCTGGGGAGACTGCCTGGGGGACGGACGGGCACCACGCGGTCCGGCGGAGCCGCATGCGAGTCCGCGGCTGCAGCCGCGGAAAACGGGGCGGGCACGAGGGCCAACATTTAGGGGGGGGGCGGTTCAGGGGGGAGACATCAAGCTTGAATCGACGATACATCACCGATGGATCGTCGATAGATCCTCGATAGCGGAACCGCCCGCTCCTGGGAGAGATGGCAAGGGACTCTCGGGTGGTCTTGGGCCCTGGCGGCCGCGGTATCTGGAGCGATGTCTTGGGCCCTGGCGGCCGCGGTATGTGGACGCGAGGCGGAACTCCCAAGGACTATTGGGGAATCGTGGGGCCTGGCGGCTATGGTATGCGGTGCGCGCAGACAAGTTGGAACCGTGTCCCTGGACATGTGGCAACCCCGCCCCGTTGGGATGCGAACAACTACACACCAAACCGCAGATCGTCCCTCTTCTCCTCCTCCATTCTCCCCCTTCTGCCCATCATCATCATCATCATCATCATCATCATCATCATCATCATCATCATCATCATCATCATCAGCATCATCATCATCATCAGCAGCAGCAGCAGCAGCATCATCATCATCATCATCATCATCATCATCATCATCATCATCATCATCATCATCATCATCATGTTCATCATCATCATCAGCAGCATCATCACCATCACCATCATAATCGTCTTCATCATCATCATCATCAGCATCATCAGCATCATCATCATCATCATCATCATCATCATTATCACCAGCAGCATCATCATCACCAACATCATCATCATCATCATCATCATCACCCCTCCGCCTCGGGCCCCTCCCAGGCTCAAGGCCACTTAAGGCCCTCTACACCCTCTGGCAATGGATAACGTCTCAGTCTGCTCGCGGGCCCCCGAAACTGAAACCTCCTCCTCCTCCTCCTCCCTCTCTACCGTTCTTCCTTCTCCCCATTGCTCCTCCTGCTCCCGCTCTGGATGACGATCCAAGGTCCCCACCCAACAACGGGATGATGCTCCAAGGGAGGCGAAGATTCGAAGGCCGACATCCTCGCTCACCTTTTGTCCTGAGAGCCCCCCTCCCCATTGCCCAAGTCGTGAGGCAACTGCAAGAGGCTCCGACGCAATCAGATGACCCCAGCTGGGGGTAAACCTTGCTGATGTGTGTTCTTTTGCGCAATGAGAGTCTCCCAGAGACCTGCGACTCGAGCCCAACGAAGCTGGACCCAACCAGGCCCGCCGCCGCTGCCGCTGCCCAGGCCGACCCAGAACCGCACTGCAGTAAGAGCGCGGGTCCTCCTCCTCCCCCTCCTCCTCCTCCTGCTCCTCTTCCTCCTCCTCTTTCTAGCCGTTCTGGCCCAGTTTGGGGCTTGCAAGTGCCGTCTTCAGAGCGGTACTCGCACTTGCGGGTCTTGTTGGCTCGTCACGACTCAGTTTGCGGGGTCCCAACCCGCCGCATTCAGTGAGCTCCTGGAGGAGCGTTCATGGTGGACCCAGATGTCCTACCAGGCCCGAGGGAGCCGAAGTGGGGTTGTCACAGCTGCGGCCGCAATGCGAGCTTTGCGAGCCGCATCAGATGCCAGTGCGGACAGTCTGCGCCGCGTAGCATCATCGACAAGGCGAAGAAGCGGGCTGAGGAGCACAAGCAGAAGTCGTCATCGTGTGGCGATGTTGTGCAGCGTCCTCCGCGTGGTGCTTGGGCTCGTGGTCCTCCTGTTCATGACAAGGGAGTCAACCAGCAGATCAGCCAGCTTCAGAAGCAGATGGGTCAGTTTGTCAAGCAGTTCGGAGCTGCAGGTGGCAACCAACGTCAGCAGCCTGGCGCAGCAGCCACCAGCGGTGACAGTAATGTGGGTGCGCCCGCTGATGACGCAGGTCGGCAGATGCTGGCACGTGCCAAATCGCTCGAGGCCACTCTCAATGCAGTTCGGAATGATGACGCAGTCCCGTCCGCAGCCAAGGAGACGCTGGAGAAGGAGCTCAAAGATGCTAGGGCTCAACTCAACAGCCAGAAGCCGTCGCTCTCGCGCCACACCGCGTTGGGGCACAAGCTTCAGCGGACCCAGCAGAAGCTCGACAAGCAGGAGGAGGACATCAAGGTGCCAGAGGCCCTCATCAAGGCAGCGCAGGGGGAGCTGGAGGCCATGCAGGCCAAGGCTCGGCAGCTACGCGTTGATGTGGAGGCCACGAAGGTTGAGCTGCAGGCGACCATGTCGAAGGTGGTTCCTCCTGTTGCCCCGTCCTTCGAGCTCAAAGCCGAGAGCGTGCAGAGCGACCCCGAGGTGCAGCAGCTCATGTCCTCGGCCGCCTTCGGCAAGTACAAGGCGCTTCTGCAGGCTCAGCTTCAGGCAGAGGCTGCGCAATCCCAATCTCCTCCCCCTCCTGCTTCAGCGGTCCCTGCCCAGGAGAGTAAGGTGGGAGGAGGTAGCGATGGGGATGAGCATGCCAACATACCCGTTCCAGCAGATATGGATTTGGATGGGTTGGATGCAGAAGATGATGAGAAGTTGTTCATGGCTGCTCAGGCCGAGGGCCCAGACAACAAGCGCGTTTTCGAAGATATGGTCAAAACTCTGGGGGTCATGGCCAAGAAACAAAAGTGCGGGTGACACTATGTTCCAGCGCCCTGCTCCCAAGTGTTGTGGGATTCCTCTCTCGTGCGCAGGCACCCCCGTTCCACCTCTGAAAGGGTCGCCGCACAGGTTGAGTACTGACAGTCAGTACCAGGTAGAGAGTTTTAACGGTTCGTGCTGGACGACTCTCAAACGACGTCTTCGAGAGAGTTCGACAGTTCTTCTCTGTGCGCAGGAAGTGGGCACGAGCTCCGGCTTCGTTGGCAGGGCTACTGCCAAGGCGCGCAGTCTTGGATGGCATGCACTTTTCGCTCCCAGCCACTACAACCCCGACACAGGTAAGAAGTCTGCAGGTGTTGCTGTCTTCGGTCGTTTGGACATTGGCCTCAGGTGGCCGCCAGAAGGAGATGCTCCCATTGCCCCGCACAGGCTCATGAAGGTCCTCGTGGACTTCCCTGGGTGGCCCACTATATCTCTGTTTTCGGTGTATGTCAAGTCGGCGGAAGGACTCAGCGAGTTCAACCTCGACCTGGTGGCCAAGTTAGGTCGTGCTGTTAGTGGCCCTGCTCACTCGGTTATCGCGGGAGATTGGAATGTGACCCCCGACGTCGTTGAGAGCTCAGGTTTCGCACGTAAGCTGGGCATGCTCCTCATGGCCCCCACAGCGCCCACTTGCAGAAGCCCTACCTCCAATTCGATTATTGATTTTTTCGCCTTGGGAGCTGGTGTAGCTAGGCTCGTCTCGGGAGTTCAAGCTGACATGCAGTGAGATGTCAAACCACATCGCCCTGTTGTTTTGCAGGTTCGGCCTGATGCTCTCCAGGTCAAGCAGTTGATTTATCGCAGTCACCTCAAGTTGCCGCTTGAGCTACCCTTTGGTCCAGTGCCTGAGCCAGGACGCTGGGAGGGTGCTCTGCATCAGGCAGCATATGCCGTTGCTCTTGCACGTCACAGTCCTGCCGATGAGGCGTGGACCAGTCTGACTGCCGCCTGGACCACGTTCGCGGACTGCGCCGAGTTGGAGCTAGTTCGATTCCTGGGCATCGAGGCCAAGGTTTTGGGAATGAGGGGACAGTCGATAAAAGCTTCCTGGGCTCCTGTTTTCTACCGTCCCAAGCATGCTGATGACCAGCTCCAAGTCTGCTCAGGATGGCGATGGCGTTATGACGCGTTTGCCGAGTTTGCGCAGGCCACCGCCAGCGCCGCAGAGGGCCAGGCCCAGACCTTGACCCTCCAGGTTTCGTTGCAGCACTCCTGTCCTGGGGAAGGCCTCAACATCAGGCTGGATGCGTCCATAAAGGAAATGAGAGCCCTCGCGGCTGAGTGGAGTTTAGGCCATCCCCATATGCAGGAGTGGCGCGATAGAGCTGAGTATTTTCTGGATACGATTCAGGAGGACCTCCTGGATGCTAATGACGAAAGGGAGAAGCTCCTCCAACAGTCTTGGGACGAATGGCAACAGAAGGCTCTTGCCGGCTCAGCGAGGCTCATGCGCAGGTTCACCAAGCTCCAGAAGAAGTGGCAGCCCACAGTTACTCAAGTGGCCCCAGGAATCTACTCGGCGGACCCCGTTAAGCTCCTAGAGGCTGAAGCTGCTCACCTCGGAGGCTACTGGAAGGCACAGACAAGGCCCCAGAGGCGTGGATACCTGACAGAAGCTGTTTCCCTCGAACTTGTCCTG